TTTGTTTTTGTTTAATTTTGTTGCCTACCAAACTTTTTGATGTTGCGTAATGCATGTTCAATTGTTAATTCTAGCCGAACTTGGGAAAAAAAGGAAGCTTGGCTTAGATAAGAAATCCTTCTTTCTTTCAGGAATTTATGTTTACGAAATTAGGATTACGAATTGTGATTTATGATAACTAATTTACGTTTTATAAGTTATGATTATTGATTTGGAAATTTATGTTTACAAAATTATGTTTGTAAATTGTGATTTATGATAAGTAGTTCATGTTTAATGATGAATGATTATTGATTTGGGAATTTATGTCTACGAATTTATGTTTGCGAATTGTAATTTATGATAAATAATTTATGTTTTATGAGTTATGATTATTGATTTGAGAATTTATGTTTAGGAAATTATGATGAGTGAAAAAATTTAATTGAGAAGATGTTGACCGTTCAATTCAATATTATGTAACCAAATTTTAATAAATGATCGGACTATTACAACAGTCGATGGTCAACGGTTCATAGCCAACGGTCAACAGTCAACCTGCCCTAGCTGGACTTCGATCTTGTATTCGCCCTTGCCGGGGATTCGTTGCATGATTATGATCACAATAAATATAGGCACGTAATAATCCTGCCGTCGCTTGAATGTTTGATGGGGAATGGGATTGGTGTTTATATTGTCGGGATCATTTCTGGAGTCGCTAAACCAATGTTTGGTGGTATTTTCAAGATGGCACTTTTCTCTATTGATGGACTTGTTGGTGAAATCATCGAATATTCATTATCTGCCCTGAGTTACTTCCGAAATGAGTTCACTTGCACCTGAAGTCATTTTGGGATTTGCAGATTGTTCCCTGAAAACATGTCATCCAAGCCCACACAGCGTGCCTCATATTCTGAATTTTTGCCCCGATCGCTCATTAGCCTCTCCACTATTTCATCAACTTTTCGAAGGTCCTAAACACTCTGACCTGGCCATTTGTTCAACTTTTTTTCATGTATTGACTCATAACATTACATCCCATCTATCAAATTCAAAACCCAGCTACCTCGACTTTCCTTATCCATACCTTAAATGTTTTTTAAAAGTAAGATACTAGACAAATTTGTTAGCTTCCAAACGGACTCAATTTAATCAGAATGAAAATTTTCCTAAGAGTTTTTGTTATAATAAACTTCTTCCAGATTTTATTGATTCGTTATTAAAAAAAAAAAAAAAACCTTATTTTATTTGGCATGTGGATTGAGGCTAGGGCTTGTGACTACTTATTTACTCATCTTCTCATGCTTTTCCAAAATTTTCCTTGGGTTATTGAACGTTTCCATCATATACCCTTTAGTTTACCATTGTATCGTTCACTGATATTTTGCCTTTGCCATCATCAATTGCACCTATTTCATCGTTCTCTCCGATCACACTTATGCCATGGAGTATTACTTTAAGAAGACGAAGTAGCAGACACCAATTATCAACATAGTTTCCAAATAAGGATGTGTCAAGTCATCAAGTAAAAGTGTCATACTGATATAGTCGAAATAAAGAATTGAAAGTTCCTATATAACAAGCTAATACCAGCTGTTGGAAATTGACCCAAATATGTGGAATTAGAATAATTAAAAGTAACAAGTCACTTATAAATAAGTTTCTAAATGATTAAGGTTATTAATCCAGTTTAATTAATCTTATGTGTCAATCGAATAAAATACTTAGATCAAATGCAATAAATAACACCAAAATTGATTCTGGAGGAAAATCCTAACATAGGATAAAAAATCTCTAAGCAAACTTGTCAGTAAACGATCCACTAGAAAGTTAACTTACAATTAGTCTATACATTGCTAAACTTTAGCTGACTCTAACTACTTAACTTGTAAATCACCGAGGAATTCTTTTGGTTGTGCATGCTTGCACTTTCCAAAACTCTAGGCCACTTTTGTACAAAGCCAAAATATAAATATAAATATAAATAAAATAAGTAAATAAAAATTAATAGAATAGAATTTCTTGTTCTATATGCTATACATTTATTATTTTGAAAAGTCAGGGGACTAAAGTTATATATGTATTAAATTTAAATTTTTGGACTGATAAGTGTATTTTGTACACTTATTTAAGCCAGTAAATTATAGTATTTGTTAGTGATTTGAATGAATTATAACTTAATTATATTTTAAATATGTTTTTTAGTTTGAACTCAATGCAAATTGATGGAATTGGAAGAAATGAACGAAAACGAGCACAAATGAAAGAAATTCAAATTTGGGGGCCAAAGTGTAAATATTCAGCAGTTGATTCAGACTATAAAATGATGATTGAAGATCACATATGATCAATTGGATGCAATTTGGAGGTCAAACGAGTAAAATATATTTGAAGTACTTTCATAAATCAATTTCTAGTCGAAGAAGTTATGCTTCGAATTTTTAGCCATAACTTGAGACCCATTTTTTGGATAGCAAAAGATCGAATTGGAAATATTATACATTCTATAAGAATTGTAGCTCTTTGAGTTGTCTTTCCAACACATATTGAATCACTTCAATCGAATATCGGGAGATAACTTTATGACCAAATTACCAAAAACTGCTCAGGGAAGACGCTGCACAAAACGGAGTGCGCAGGCATTTTTGGGCGCATGCAGGGGACCTTGGTATGCATTTGCTAAGAGCAAAATCCTTGATCAATGCGCGCGTAATGAACTATATAGCGTGTGTGCTGCCCAGTGTCCTTTTCTGACCTAAACTCTCGTGGAAATCAATTTTAACCTACTATTTAACCTAGAAGAGATGGCTAGAATGGGAAAGCACATATTATACATATTTTTCATCACAAGAAGAAGGTTAGAAAGGGATTCCAAGGCTCCGAGTTAAAGATTAACGAAGAAGAAATTGATTTTTCACTTTCCAATCATTGTTTTCAATTCCAAGTGATGTTTTTTCAAATTATTTTGTGTGATTTATTAAATAACATACTAGATTAATCCTTTTTATGTATTGGATGAGATAAACACTATTGTTTATTTATTTTAAATTTAAAACTAGTAGTTTTGTTTAATTCTTTTGTTTCTTGATTAATTTTGCATACCAATTACATTATTTAATTGATTGGCCACCAGTTAGATAGTTAATTGCTTGTTGTAGTGTTGGGAGACTCACAATAAGTTTAGAAGTGACAAAATTAACCTATGTATAATAGATGTTAGGAATAACATTTATCACTTAGGCAATCATATAGATAACCTAGAATTTAATGCATTCTAAGCATTCGAATTCAGGCTAGGAACTATTTGGGTCATGGTTATGATAGAAATATTTTGTCTTGAAAAAGAAAATTAACACATTAGTTTTATCGATTATCAAGAATACATGAATAAAATTAGGTTATAAATCAAGAATTGAAATAAATAGCATTAGGCAAATTTGAAATCCAATACAATCATCCATAATTTGACAAAAAAAAAAAATCAAATTTTTATTACTTTCTTATATTAATTTAGAATAATCACATCATTGATGAACGAATATATTCTTCAAATTATGAAAGTTAAACCTAGCACTACTAAGACCTTTTAACTTACAAGCTCAAATTTGATTTTGTATATATGTTTCTTTTTCCTATATATGTGAGCACATATTTCTATTTTTTTTTTCCAAATCTTATGTGCGAACCCTTCTTTATTAAACTTTCTACATGACCGTGTATCGAACTTTAGACCGATAACTCTAGAGAAAATATACAAGAGCCTATGTCAACTAATTTACTGGTCATTTTGTATTTAAATTCATTCCACCACACAAGTGACTGCCATCCTAAATCTCATACCCACAATCAAAACTGAATCACAAAAGTTTAATGCGTGCAACATAGATGATACTCACAATAACCTATACCAAGTACTCCAAATATGTTCTCAATAAAGATAATGAAAAAAACATATCCAAAAAATATTAATTGAAAAATCTTTTTTCGTTTTTCATTTTTTTATAATAATAATGCAAAACAAAACAAAAAATATGGAAAACGTAAAAAGTGCAAGCATGAATATGTAAATATCGTGAATAAAGCAGATGCATAAACCAACGATTAAGTCATAAAATTAGTCAATTGAATCACTTCATTACCCAATAATCTTAGATGAGTAGTTAGATCTTGATTGTCATTCAAAACTAATGGCTTAGAAACCAAAATAATGCGAACAAAAACACCAAAATTATGACATGTCGAAAAAAATTTGAGAGCAAACCTAGGTTTCAAATTTTGAATCTTAGGTGGAGGAAAACAATGTTGTGTAGACGATTTTGATCTTTGGACACCTACATTTTGATCTTGTTCCTACTTAAGAGATCGTGACACTTTGGTCTTATGTGTCCTATTTTAACACAATGGTGACACGTGGGGATGAACCTAGGAGCAACTCTAGGTTTCAGGTTTTAAACCTTAGGCTTTGAGGTAGGTACAAACTTATTGTTAGAAGACGAACCGATTTGAGAACTTGTCATCAATTTTCTCAGATCCGCTAGAAAATGCTTGAACTTGGGTATTTAACTTTTCCAGATCACTCATAAGAGATTTAACCTTAACATTTAATGACCCTTTCTCAACTTTAACTCATTCAAACTTCTAGTGGATTCCTCAAGTTTGGATACAAGGCTCTCCTTTTGTAATTAAAGATTATTCAATTTTTGATAGGCAAAGCGATTCGCTTTTTTCAACTTAAGTACTCCTTTAACAATTGGTCATAAGCCTTCCAAATATCCATATCACACACCGATTGAATCAGAAAATGATTAACTAATTTAGACAAATTTTTGAGTCAAGTCACTTATATAAGTATGTACTAATCTAATTCTACTTGTTGAAAATTATAGTTGTTTAGACTCAAATATGTGGAATTAGAATAATTAAAAGAAAAAAAGTCACTTATAATTGATTTGTAGATAATTAAGGTAATTAATCCTCTAATTAATCCTATGTGTCAAACAAATAAAATAATCAGATCAAAAGCAATAAATGACACCAATATTGATCGTGGTGGAAATTCCCAACTCATGATAAAAAACATGTGGGCGATCATGCTAGCAAACAATCCTCTAAGTTAACTTACAATTATTCTAGATGCTACTAAACTTTAGCTGACTCTAACCACCTAACTTGTAAATCACCTAGGAATTCATTTCGTTGTGCACATTCGCACTTCCCAAAACTCCAGACCACTTCTCTTTTCACTGAATCACCAAGAATGAACTACTTTCATTCCGGAGCGCTGGAACTCCAATCTCCAATTCTCAAAGTTTAGAGCTCTAACTTGGGAAGATAGTGTTTTATGTTTTGGTGTTTGATCAAGGATCTTTCTATGTTTTGATCTTGTAGATTGATGCAATAGATATTAGAATATGTTTTTGGCTTTCAAAGAACAAACTATTAACTTACAACAAAGGTATACTAATTGGATCAATATATGTGTTGAATAATGAACAAATAATATTGTGGTTGAATTAAAGAATCAATGAAAGGATGTTCGGATCTTCTAAAAATGATCTCTATAAACAAAATATTGTTCAAACACATTTTTAGACTTCCCATAGGATGTATATTTATAATGGGTATCGTTTGGTATGAAAAGGAACTCAAAATCAATTTGATAATCAAACTCTAGGCAAACTGTAGGCCGCTTGAACTCTAGGCAAGCTGCAGCTGAGCATTGGTCAATATTTTTATCATAATTTTCTTTTCTGATGTTTGATTGAAGCAATTCAAAGTGCTTGAAAAATTAACTCAAAGAGCTAAAATTCTTTTGTCTATTTTCAAATTTGAATGTTTATTATGTGAAAAATGCACTACAACTTGTGATTGAGAATTTGGAGCAAAACTTGTGCAACAGTTTGACTTCTAATTGCATTTCGTTGATCATATGTGATCTTCTTGAACATCTTTGACTCTCCAAGGATTATACCATCTATCTTAACTATTTTTACATTAATTACAATTCAATTACTCTTATTTTGACAATGATTATAATTCAATTATCTCCTAATACAATTCTACTAAAATATGATTTTAAGTAAAAAAATTATCAATTACAGATTTAGAAATTACCAATTATATAACTTGGACCTAACAGAAAGCAGAGGTGATGCCAGCGCTAGGGAAGGCTAGACAGCCTCCCTAGCTGCTTCATCAGTGAGAATTTATTTATTTTTATATTTCTTGGCCTTTTTTTCTTTACAAACCTAGGCACAATAAATAAGCCAAGTAATTGATGGGGATGAGGAAGTAATTAAGGATGCAGTATTCTTGGCTCCACCTAGAAAGTTAAGAGGAGAGTTTGCTTTTTTCGTGGTGTACTACAACCACAAAGGTTCTAGGATGGAAGAGATATGTAGTGAGAGGATGCATAAGTGTCTTAATAGGCATGCACACACACACACACACACACACACACACACAAAAACTAACTGATGGTGGGAAATTTAGTGGTGGATCCAACACCCGACTTCCACCAACGGCCGCGCGTGCTAGTTCTGTCGGGAACAAAAAAAAAATTTGTTGACGATAGATAAAACTTTTTAAGATTATATAACTGTTATTCATTTTATTTTCAAACATCTTTTGTATCTCAATTAGTTAGAGCTTTCTCATCCAATTTGGAAGTCTTGGGATCGAAAATCTTCCAAAGTAATTTATTGTGCAATTTTTCTAGTTCAAAAATTTTTACCAAAACTAATGCCATAGGGAGCGGATTTGAACGTGTGAGCCCTCTCTAAGATTATTGAATGCTTAGCCATCATGGGACTTGTTAAATTTTGACACTAAATGTAACAGAATAATATTTGTTCAATTTTAGCAATTTTAATGCAATTTGAAAGACTCAAAGCTGTGCTCTCCCTTTAGATTATATAAAACTTGGCCACTATGTCATCTGGTAAATATTATTAAAATATATAAAAAATTAATAAGTTAAGTTTTAGCAAAATAATTGTTATATTTAATTTTTAATATTTTATTGCGATCATAGTCAACGGCAGTTCGTGCTTACTCAAAATCTTGGATCTACCATTGATGGAAATCTGAGATGCCTCAGAAGTATGGATGAAGTAATGAAGAAGGATAGTTGTGGAGATGATGTGGTGATGGAGGGTTCTTTGAAGTTGTCGGAGACGTTAGCAGGCTCGACGGTGCTAGTAGTTCTAGTAGAGCGAAGGAGGTGGCGGTCGTGAATTGTGGGGATTCTAGAGCAGTTATTTGCTCCGGTGGTGTTGCAATGCCATTGTCAAGTGATTATAAGGTGACATATCCTTTTTTTTCTTCGTAAAATATGTAATTTATAGTTTTATAACGAGGTTTTGTATGCCCATGTATGCTTTATTTATAAAAATGTCGCTTGATTGAAAATAACAAAGTCAATTTTGTCTAGTATAGCATCTGGTAACGCCTAATACAATGATATTAGAATTCAAGAAACTCAACTCGCTAGTTAATTCATACTTTAACAAACTTTTGACCTTTTGTTATCTTGTGGATTAGGCTTTATTGTTTTTAAGAATCAAAGAAAATTTCTAAAATTTGTCTAGTATAGCGTCCAATATAGTCTAATATAATACCATTAGAAATTGTACAAACTCAACTCACTAGTTAATGCATAATTTCATATAGGGTACCGCTGAGTATCCTGAACAAAATTTCACCTTGCATCTTAATTAAGCTGGTTCAATGCAACATACTAAACATAGTGCATAAATATCATAACTTGGAAGAATTTTCTTATAATATTAGGTTGTATGGAAGTATATTTTCATATTTATAGATTTTACATTTTAGTGTATTGATATATTGATTGAAAAATTATTAATATTATTTAATTAAATAATAATAAACGGCTATAAAGATTGTCGACGATCAAAGGTCTACAGTCAATGACTGTCCTAATTCATTGTAATTCCTAGACTTGCCACTAACAGGAAGTATGAGTGATTAGATGGGACAAGAGAGCAATTCGTCGCCTCCTTACAATTGCTACATTCATTGATGAAACTTATATTGATGAGCAAGAGTACTCGATAAAATAAATAGAATAGAGTACATAAAACTAGACAATCACTTGATTCATAGTCCTTCACCTGATTCATAGTCCTTCACTTTACCACTTATTCACAAACCATGCAAATTATACTAAGTTCATGTTTAGTTCAACTAGAAAAGTGAATTAAAATTTAAGTCAAAGTCAAAAATTAATTGTAATCACATGTTTGTTGGGATCCATAACTTTTTAACCAAATATTCCAATAATTTTAATCAAAATCTACTAAAAATTTATTTATTTATTTATTTTATCTAAATCAAACATAGGCTAAGAAAGTCTTATTAACCATACAAGAATTTATAAAATTGATACAAGAATTGGCTTTCTTTTCCTAGATATCTTTGTATTATTTTGGATTCATACCTTATTTGGCAAAGCGTGGGGTGCGTGCGCCAGAGAGATAGTGAGAGAAAGAAGCCAATATGATAATGATTAAAAACCTTCCTCGATAGGAGGTGGGCTCATCAATATCACCCTTGAGAGCGATAACAAAGGTATCATCGTATCATCATTTAGTCTTCTTCCATACTTTGTCAATCAGTCATTCCTTAATTGTGCACGTGCCTAAAGATAATAGTAGTCATTTACCTAATACGAATGGTAACCATGTTCAGAGCAATCAACGTCAGAGTTACTACTACTACTACTTGTTGGGGTTCCATCCTTAACATTCTTCTCTTTTTCTTTCCTCCATTTGTGCTTCTTATACCGATGCCTTGCCAACATTATCCCAAGCCCACAAAAAACAGTCATTGTGCACCCTCCTCCAATTACTACTAGTTCCACTTCAACAAATCTTCTACCTTTTCCCTTTGGCATTATAGCCCAAATGGCTGCAATAAAAGCTGATGCCATAAACAGTGTAGAAATCCACATTAACTTGTGAGTTATCGTCAGTAATTTCATCATGGATTTCCTCTCGAAAGGAATAATGCTCACAAGTACATTCACAATGCTAATAGAAAGGAATAAAGCCACAATATTGCATACCAGAAAGACCTTAAAAGAAGTTTGCTTCCCAAGAACTGCATTTCCAGTTACTTGATTAAATCCCCCAGGAGGGTCAATGCCTGCTGCAAATGTCACCGTTGCTATTAAAACTGCAACAATTATTATCGTGTTTCGAGCATTTCTCAGACTCTCGGTATAGAGATCAACATCAAGCTGCTTTCTTCGTTGACGTTTTTGCCTCTGATGACGAGGCTGATGAGAGGAACGTGATGCTTTTAAGTTCTTGTTTGACCTTGAATTCATCCTTGCAACATTTTTACGTGATCTTTTATCAGATATCGTCGCTCCAGCTGCTCGTAATGCTCGTACACTTACAAATTTCTCGACGTAGCTTGCTTTTGCTTGAGCCACATCCAGAGCTGTGTACCCCTGGTGGTTTACAGAATTTACCTCCATTCTAAATCTTAGCAGGTATGTAACCATCTATAAAGAATTAATTTGGACAAGAAAAGTAATTAGGAAAATGATTGATCAGTCTGATAAGTTAACTAATCACCATATGTATTGCTATTCTAAGGATTTATAGCTCTTAGCCTTTCTTTATTGCGTATTCCCACTAAAACCCTAAACCATAAATCCTAAACTCCAACCCTAAACCCGTGACAATAATCAAAGAGCTAGAAATCTTTCCTCACTGAGAGGTCCTGCAGTAGCCAAGTGCAGAACAGTGTTCCCATCACTATCATGCAAGTTAAGAAGTTTTGACATGTCAAACTTCTCCATTAAGTGCTTAACCACTTCAATTTTATTATTTTTGACAGCCAAATGCAGAATTGTTTCCTCCTTTAATGTAGTAATCACAGCAGGTCCAAAATTTGCAGAAAGTATTTCATCAATTATGTTTATTCTGCCTTCAACTACTGCATAATGGAGGGGTGTGTTGCCTTCACTATCTTGTACAGAGGAGAGATTTGAATTGAGCTTTGAATCCAACTTTAGAATTTCTCTTGTTATATCTAAATGGCCATTGCTGCACGCTACATGGAGCGGTGTGCACCCATGAAAGTCCTTTCCCAAAGCAGAGTATGGTCGGGCTCTCAATATTTCCTTCACTATTTCTGGAAAAATAAATTGGAAAAAACTTTTTATGGCAAGAAATGATTATAGTTTGGTTCAACTAAAAAGGTTTATTAAAATTTAATTCAAATTAACAAATTCGTAGTCAAACAAATGGGAAATTCTTACCATAAAACCGGAAACCACTTCATGGGTCAATGCTCCTACTTGACAAGTGAGGTCAATAATTTGGCAATAAGGCCTTTGGGCTCCATTTTAGAAAGAAGAATTTTTTTCTTTTTTATTTTCAATCACACTCTCCAATAAAATAATATTACACGTAAATTCAAAACTTTTTTTTTATTTAACCTCACATTCTCAAAAAAAAAAATCATTATTTCAAAATACAATTTATCTAAAAATTCAATTATAATGGAGCTAAAACAGTGACTAATAGCCCAATCTAATTTTGATAAAAGTTAGATTCTTAGTATATTTTTTGATAAAATTGATAAAGTATTTTGTTGAAAAGTTGAAAAATTTGATGGATTTTATGAAATGTTCGAATAAAATTAATTGTTAACTTTGACTTAAATTTTTTAACTAAACCAAACATGGGCTCAATGAAAAAATGAGTCCGGACTTGTATACAAACATTATTTGATGAAAAAATGAATCTAACATGAAAAGATGGTTGACACAAATTAACCAAATAAATTTGTTTATCTAATATAGAATAAGGTTTTATATAGGATAATTGTTGGAAAATTTACCCGTATGCCCAACAGAAGCATAATGGAGGGGTGTTTTGCCTTCTCTATCTTGTACAGAGGAGAGTTCTGAATTCAGCTTTAGAATTTCTCTTGTTACATCTAAATGGCCTTCGCTGCACGCTACATGGAGCGGTGTGTGCCCATCAAGGTCCTTTTTAAAAGCAAAGTCTGGTTGGATTCTCAATATTTCCTTCACTATTTCTGAAAAAATAAATGGGAAAAACTTTTTATGGCAAAAAATTATTCTCTATTTTTTTCAACTAAAAAAGTTGATTAAAATTTAAATCAAAATTAACAATTAATTTTAGTACCTTGTTTTATGTATATCAAGCCCTATGTAATAGGTTACATAATTTTACATGACACTTTATCATTAGACAATTCAAAACACATTCAACTTTTTTATTCAATCATATCATTATTTTCTGACACACTTTTTGAATGTCCTTTTCTGGAGAAATAGCATAATTTTTAATTTTAACAACTTTTTTATTTTTATGGAACCCTCAATTTTTTAACTATGCATTCATTCAATTTTTATTAAAATCTATTGATATTTTTAAAAAAAAATTTCTTAATTCTAAAGGAAATAACTAATTTCCTGAGAAATTAAGCACATGTTTGGTACCAATTAAAATCTAGATTTTAATCTAAGTTAATGTCAACAATTCATTTCAACCGCGTATTTAATGAGTCTCACAATTTTTTAATCGCACATTTTATCAATTTTTATTAAAATCTACTAAAAATTTAATTGTACTTCACCTTTGGTTAATATTTAAGATAGTATATTCACTACAATTATTTTAAAAAAAAATTAATTAATTAAAATAACTTTTTTATTAAATTATAATATAAACGGAATTAATTTTGATTACAGAAATTAATAAATTTTATTAGTGGGGGTTAAAATTCGTATATTAATGAAGTATTTGACGAAACTAAAAGCAGATTATATCATTTTGCAGTTTATCAAAATCTGTCGTCAAATAATAGGACCATGTTTGGGCTAAATTTTAATTATATTTTTCTCTTTTTACATTTCACATTCTTCAATATAATAATATTTCACATAAATCTAAAACTTTTCTTTCTTCTTAACCATACATCCTTCAAAAAATTACCATTTCAAAATAATTTTTTCCCAAAATTTCATTAAACAGAACTCAAACAAGGGCCACGTATTCTTTCATAATCATAAATTTTTAGACCCTGTTTGTTGGAATTAAAATCAAATTTTTAGTATATTTTGATAAAATTTGATGAAATGTATTGTTGATAAATTGTGAATTCTATTAAATATTTGGTTAAAAATTATTTGTTGAATTTGACATAAATTAAAATTTAGATTTTAAACCATATCAAACAGTAGCTTTTATCAAACAGTTAGGACCCTTTTAGCATGACTTTTAAACAAGTCAAAAGTAATTTTTGATAATTAAAAGTTGCTTTTGAACTCGTTTGACTAATTTTAAGAAATTGCTTATTCTAGTTAGAAGATCTTTTAAAGAAAGTTGATCCAATATGACTTCTTCGAAAAGCAATTCCGAAATAGGAAGTTTTTTAAAAATTATTATTCAAACAATAATTAAGATAGCTTTTTTTTAAAAAACCTTTTACGTGAATTAAAAGCAAAAGTAAAAATTATGTCAAACGGAACCTTAAAATTGTTTAGATAGTTTGAAAATCATAATTTGGTCTTTAAAACCAATTTTGAATGACCGTATAAAAATAAAAATGCAGACATTAATATTTAAGAAAATTTTATTAAAATTTGCAATGCATATCAAGCCATTTTTGAGGCTAGAGCACAAGTTGATCCTGAGCTGCCCCATCGCCCAACTCGAGCTTTCAAATTAACATGGCATAATAAATACTTAATTATAGTTCAAAGTTTGAAATATTATTCAAACATTCGATCTCGCCTCAAAGAATTAAAAGTATAAAGATTTTAGTGGTTGATTTCGTTAAATCTAGCAAACATTATTTGATGAAAAAATAATCTGACATAAATAGACAGTCGACACAAATTAACCAAATTAATTTGTTTATCTAATATAGATCAAGGTTTTAGACAGAATAATTGTTGGAAAATTTACCCGTATGCCCGGAAGAAGCAGCAGCATGAATTGAACTGGTGGACATATTCACCTCCAGCGAAAACAGTCGAGGAAAATTCATCAGATGCTTCACTGCATTAATATTCCCCCTCTCACAAGCTGCGAAAAACGGGCTTTGTTCACGAGAATTCAGTTTATAAACAATCGACTTATCCCTTTCCATAAGAAGTTTGATCATCCCCAAATGCCCTTCTCTGCATGCTTCGTGCAATGGCGTTTCCAGGTCTACATTTTCCGAGGAAACCATCTCTGGACACGATTTTATGATCTCCGACGCCAATTCCTCGTGCCCGAATCTTGCAGCCAGGTGAAGTACGGTGTTGATCGATCCTCGGTCTGTTTGTTTAATGATGTTTTCATGTTCTTCCATTAAACTGCGAAGGCCTAAAACGTCGCCCTTTGCCACTGCCTCTATGAGCAGTGGCGAATCCAGAAGTTCAACCCAGCACGGGCGTTCATCGACCGTTCAGCCGCAATAAAATATTAAGAGTTCGTTTGATATCATTTATTTATTTATTGCGTTTTTTTTTTACAAAAAATACATTTTGAAATAGTGATTTGATGGAGAATGTGCAGCTAAAAATAAATAGAAGTTTTGAATTTGTGTGTAATATTATTTTATTGAAAAATGTGTAGTTAAAAAGAAGAGAAAAAATATTTTGAAAAAAATGAAAATCAAACAAGGGTCTAAAGTTTAAATATAACAGTTACTTTGTTAAAATTGAATATATATAATTTTCTTATAAGAATAAATTGGACTTATTGAATGTCATTGTTGCCAAATTTTATATAATTTAAAGGAAAAGCATGGGTTCATATCTTTGCAATTGTACTTGCAAACCAAATAAAACCTAATAAATATTACTTTGTTAAACACAAAGATAGCAATCAATAAGTAGCGTGATAGTCAAGCTTCAATACCTCTATCAAAGAGGACCCGAGTTTGAAACTCATTTGGTCCACTTCCTATTGAATTTTTGTAAAAAATGTAGAATAAAAGCATTGTAAAATAAATTTTGCTGGCAAGGGGATTCGAACACAAAACATCCAACATAAACATACAAGCTCCAACCAACTGAGCTAGAAGTCAGGATTGAAACTATAATGAAATACCAGTAATATAACCTTAAATTTTGATCTATTCCCAACAGAAAAAACTCCTTCCGACGGATCCAACACGGGCGGCCGCTGGGGCTCGCCAGGTGCTGGATCTGACCATGAGTCGACGATCCATTGCAGCTCGTCTAGAAACTAGAGTCGGAAAGGAACAAACTTATTTACAGGGAAAATTGTTTTGAGTACACGTGATTTCAAGCTTCTGTGTAAACTCAGAGAGAAATTAATAGGAAAAGCGGTGGCATTTTTTTCCACGAGCTCAGTAGGTAGGAAGGTTCTTAGGAGGATGAAGTTCCATACGTGATTTCAAGTTTCTGTGTAAACGCAGAGAGAAATTAATAGGAAAAGCGGTGGCATTTTTTTGGTGCAGAAGGAACTAACGTCCGAAGCTGTCAAATAAAGTGTCGAGGTCGTTGCACTAAGTTCTACCGAAGTGACTCACCCTCATCTATTCGAAGTCGTTTACAAACGGAAAAGGGTCAGACAAGCACCTCTTCAGAGTTGACTGATGTGACGTGCACAATTAATGAGTGTCAGGAATATCAGCCTAATTCATAAAGTGGCTGACCTTTTATCAAAAGTCTATCAATATAATTAATGTGTAATATAATTGATATAATAGTTAGGGTCAACAGATTAGGCCATCCAATCCAACGGTGATCACATTGGCCTAAATATTATAAATAGGCAATATTTGTATCAATTGAAAAATCTGAAAAAAAAAAATATAGAAAAAGGAGAATACAATACTTTTATTGCCTACTATTCATTTTCTCCCACAACAATATTTATTTTACAGTTAGCACACTACGAAGCACACCCACGTGTGCATTGTCTTTCAACGATACCTGTTGACCATTTTCGAATGCCAACATTGTCTCTTAGAATCAATTCTCAACATTGTCTCGTAGAATCAATTCCCATTCTTAAGGTCATCTCTCTCAATGTAATTGTCTCCTAGAATCAATTCTCAACATTGTCTCGTAGAATCAATTCCCATTCTTAAGGTCATCTCTCTTTAAATTTCAAATATAATTCTCAACATTGTCTCGTAGAATCAATTCCCATTCTTAAGGTCATCTCTCTCACTTTACATTTTAGTTCAAGCTCCTCAAATATTGACATGCTAAATTATCCTTCTCATCATTTACAATTCCGTATCCTTCTTGTTGACTACAATCTTTTGGTCTTCATAGATGGTTATTATCGGCCTTCTCCTGCTATCCAAATTAAAGGTGCAATTTCTCGAATCCTAGTTTTTCTCTAAGGATTGAACAAGACTAGTCGATAAATCTAACGTGATTGTCAAATCCCTATCACATACTATTAACTCATACATTGCCTCTTCCATATCATCGTATGACACATGGATGACATTAACCACGACTTACGCAAAACCATTATAGTGAACAACTATGCAACATAAAAAGTCTATTATCCATCTCACAAAGGATCAATTCACTTACCGAATGTAATCAAGCTATTAAAAATAAGATAAATGAGCTTGCATTCTTCAATTTCCTCGTTCACTATTAAGACCTCACTATAAACAAATCATTGTTGGACTTACTCATTATTACAAACACAGAACTCTAATAGTCCGTGCTTATAACATCCTGATATCTAAATTTCGAGTGATAACTAGTTTGCTATTTAGAAGTTTAAGGAAGCCCCAGAAAGTTCTTAGAACTCAATGCTGAAAACTTAGATTTTGAATTTTTTTGACAATGAATTGTAATATTATTGATGAATTTCTTTAAATGGAAATCAGAATTTATACATAAATATGATTCACCTTCAAATCTTAACCCTAAAGTTATAAAAAAACACATGGTTAGATTATACTGGTACAAGTTTTATACTAATATATCTTTAGTACAACATATAATTATGATCTAGTTATTACATAATCAATATAATTTATAAGACAGATTGTTGCAACATGAGACAGGCCTATGAAATTTAAAAGGTATTTTATTCTCATATTATCTTGTGAGATTATAATTATAATATCATAAATTTAATTATGCATGATAATTTATACAGATTGTTACCACATTAATTTATGCAAGTTCAGGATGTTGCATCATATAAATATAATGTTACATACAACATTCAGAATCCATTTTAACAAGTTGTAATGTGCAGAAATATATTACTTGTTATATCAAATGTTGGAAACGAATTTTGATATTGACAAGGTAAAAACAGCAGTAATGTGACACAATAAATTTTGAAGGTAATTAAAAATCCATTCAATAAATGGATCCAGGGATGGCTACGGAATCCATCCTAATTTTGTCGGGAATTTTTAAGAGACGAGGCGGGTTGATGAGTAAAACATTCTCATTTATTACTTCGCTTAATTATTTTTTTGCTTATAATTTAAGTTAAAAAATATAAAATAAAATTGGGACGAGTTCGAGCTAAACTATTATCCCCATTCCCACTCCGGGACATAAATTTTGCCATCCATCCGAGAAAAACTTTGATTGGGCGGTTGCATCCATATACGAGGGGCGACCGACAAATGGAGAGCCACCATTTCATCGGGTGACTTGCCCTCATCCAATGAGGTGAGACCATCCGATGGTTGAGGGTGAGCCACCCGATGAGGTGGTGGTTTTCCATTCGACGGTCGCACTATGTAGGACGATGCGATCGTCTCATCAAAATTTTTCTCCATCTCTTGATGGGTCTCTTGTGAAATCTCAAAACATAATTTTTGATTCCGTGGTCAATCTAGCTAGATGAGGACTTGGATCAGTCACAATCATTTGCAGAGCATGCATTCCATGAAGAGATCGAAGCTTTGAAGAAGAAGATCATTGGGAAAAAAATTGAATAAAAAGTTATCTAATTTACGTTAATTGAATTCTTGAATTTGAAAACGAGATAACATTCATAGTGGGGAGTGGTGGAGAGGCCAATGGATTCCTAGCCTCCGTAGAAATATGAGAAAAAAATTTATAATGACTTATATTCATATTATTGTAGTTTCTCCATTTGAAATAGGTTCTCAATGGATTCAATTTGTGGTGACAATGAATCGAATTGAGTTTGACTCGTGTCTAAATCTTATGATTGGCTGTGCTCTCTCTCTCTCTCTAATAAATTAACAAGCTCATAAGCAATTTATTTTTATTAAATTAATAAAACGAATTCAAATATGTGGGAAAATTACGGCTAACCCACAAGCCCAAATGAGCTGACTCATTGCTTTATGAAAAAAATGAGTTCGACTTGATCCATGACGCGTCTCAAAATGGGTTCAAATTGTCCATGGATAGAACCAGGACGAACAGAGTCCGTGAACTGACGAACGATTCAATCCATTTACCACATCCAATTTTTTACTACACCGTGATATTTGACAGCAAAACAGACATTAGTCTGTCCAATGGGAACACATGTGACCCATTATTAATGTTTGGAGATGATTGTGGCAAATTCCCGGGTGAGTGAGTGAGTGAAGACCCACACTCCCACTTTAATCAGTGAATGCAAAAGACAAAACCTACTGCAATTTCTGAAACTTACAAGTCATGCATGCACCCCTGTCTCCCATTCTCCATCTCCTATTACTACACATACAACCTTTATTAATTAGTTGTCCAAATAAGTTGATATCTTCAATTGCTCACACACTTAATATCGAGTTTTAATCACTAAACTTCTAAAACTGTTGGATGTTACTCAGTAGAATCACTTCCATTTTACGTCTATAACATAATAGCCGATCAGATGAATTTCATAGTTGGCGTCCCCATCATTATTAGATGTCCAATCACGAAAGAAGAACAATCCACGTAAGCAATAAGTCTTTAATAGCTCAATATATTTTAGCAACGTATTTCATTGCTTACTATACTTGAATCTGGTTGAATTTTGACCACTAAACTGCTCGAAGTGATGTTAGGATGATATGGAAACTCGTGTTTTGTTTATTTCTTATGGTTAATGTTGTGTTATTATGTGTTTAGAAAGGATGAACATGTTATTTTATTATTTCACTGATAAAATACAATACGGGATACAATCATATCAAACTCGATCACCATTCCATAGTGGTAGTTTTACTTAAATTTTGTTGGTTGGGTAATTATACTTTGAGTTGATTTCACTTAAGCTAGCTTCATCCAAACTTAACTATTTATAAATGTTACGTACATCTCCAAATGTTTTTTTTATTCCATGTGTAGAAAATCACGTGGCATTATTAGCACCGACAACATGAAAATATATAATCGTTTC